TTTTTTTTTCGAATTTACTTTCCAACTTCGCTACAGTAACAATCTGTATTAAACAGGGAAGCCCTACTAATTTAAGCAACATTTACTGGAAAATGGGAAATACAGAATAATATCACTCAAGCTGAGAGACTAAAAATTCCAAACCAAGAAGACATTTCTTAAGCTTCACTTATGCCAAAAAAAAAAAAAATTCCCTCGATAACTACAATATTCTCACTGCTGATAATACTGATGACCATTTTAATGACAGTGATATATACAACTGCAAAATTAATGACGATAACAATAAACTAAACGATACTAGTGGCCACCAACAACAAATCAGTGCTTCGCATCACTTCATTAAAAATCATCATTCTACCCATTTCAAGTGAATACAAGCAAAATTATGCAGATAAGGTTCTGCAAAAGAAGAAAACCTCACAAATGAACTAAAATAACTAACGATAATATACATCTGAGATAATTATGAATACGTAGATATATTTTGTTTTACATTTTTTTTTACATTTTCTACACTTTAACCATTAACCACTGATAACGAAAACTAACATTTCCAACAAAATAACAAATCGCCGATCTGCTACTTCTATTTTTTCCTTTTTGTTTTGTTTTTCTGTTACTTGATGCTGAATATTTGATTAAAAAAAAAAAAAAAGAAATTTTCAATGCTGTATTATGTACGCAAAGGAAAGAAAAAAGCAAGCAAAGCGACGCGCAACAATTGAAAACTATTTTTGCTGTCGCTGAACGCAATGCGATACGACGCGGCGCAGCGCGATGCGGTTAAACGCTGTGCAGGCAACCAAAGCGATATGAAGGAGAAAACGAGGTAACAGGTTTGCAACTTCAACTTATTCCAATACAATTCCTATCTCGATTTCCAAAAATAAGGCTTCCCTCTGCACAAGAATACCATCAGCAACACAGTGTTTAAAAAGCCACAACTTAACGGAAATTCTTTTATCAACAAGCAAAAACGATGAACGTACAAGATACAGGCGCAAAAAACTCATATGCATTTATAAAGATAAGAATGGGGGACTGATTTTGATTCTCTTACTACCAAACCAAAGTTTTAGTAATCTGTATATAAATACTAGATGATGAAGCTGAAAAGAAAAAAAAAAATCAACGTGCGCACTTTGAAAACATGCTAATTAATCTAACTGAACTACTGTAAAATTTAACAACCATATATCACATTAAACTATAATTTTACTTTTCATCAGAATATCTGAAATCCATTGCTGTTCCTCTTCCAAAAACTTTAAAAACATCTAAAGCCATACTAATTTGCCTCAGTTCCTGTAATATTCTCTCAGTTTATCAACGACTTTTCACTGTCAGTGAAGATAGCACTGAATTCTCAGACACCTTCCAAAGCATCAAAAATCACTTAGCTCGTTGACATCTACAAATTCAGCCACGGTTAAAAACGCACTGCTGCCGAAAGTTCTAAAAACACCTGATTAAAAACGCTTAAATTTTTTTCAAACCGTGCGCATATCAAGTAGTTATCATACTTAAATTCAACTTATTCAATACGCACTATTACATATTTTTAACGAACACGTGAGGGTTTTGAAGCCAGTCAAGTGTTTATTTCATAAACCATAGCTTTCAAATAGCACAGTTTTCCTCAGGCGTTAAAAATCTTAAGAAAAAACTAAAATACCCTGAAAGAATGACGAAAAAAAGTTAAGTAGCGTATATCGATCAAACAATTAACACAAAAAGAAAGAACCCTTCTAAAGATCTACCAAAAAATTTAACATTTGACATAAAGATCATAAGAATTGTGAAAAAAAAAAAAGATAATTATCAAATCAACAGTAAATAGATATACAGAGAAGCTTCATAAAAAGAAGAAAGAATTATTTGGAAAAAAAAAATCCAAACCTGAACAACAAAACAAAAAAAAAAAAAACGGTCACCTTTCCTATCCCACAGCAACTGCTCAACATATTGCCAAAAAAATTGAAAGCGGACCAAAAAAAAAAAGAAAACAAAGCAACAACTCAAAATTGCTACGAAAACCCATCCGAAAAACATATGCAAAAACTGATCAATGTTCGGAAAAATGTCAACCAACTTTTTCTGATAATTATTCACTTTTTTCTTCTGTCACCTTCGAGTCCTAAATGATCCGTTCAAGTACCACAGAATCGCACTCTGCTCAAATGTGCACTATAAAATTGATAACAACAACCACAACAACAAAAACAGCAGAAGCTGACCAATTAAAAGACACAGTAACAGTAATCATCGTCTTTGAAGAAATGGATATAACAAATCTTTTTTTTTTGCTTCGAACAATCTCAATGTAATGTAAACTAGTTACAACTTAAACTTCGGGAAAAGCTGCATCTCAGCCAAAATTTAGTACCCTGCTTCCATCCCTCCAGTCTTTTCCATTGTCATTTCATTATAACCGTTCGTTTTTTTTTTGACTTTTTTCTTGAACTGAACGCCTTTCTTCTTCTATCCTTCTTTTTTCTATTATTTTTTATTTATTTTCTTCCATTGTGAACCTGAATTCAAAATGTTCCCTATATTTCTGTACAGGACAAGAAAAAACAAAACCATCTGCGTTTGACACAATTCTCGACTGCTTTTTTCTTTTAAATTAATAGAATTTTTAATTTTTTTCGTTTTTTTTTTCCGAATTCAGATTTTTTGTTGGTCATCGGCAGGCATATTGAGCAATCACCGAAAAGTTAACCGTAACTGCTTTATTTCTTTTAACTTCCTTCCTTCCATACTTTTCACTTATTCATTTTCGTACCTTACGGCTTTCGAAGAAAAAAAAAAAAAAAAA